GTCAGAGGGAGAAGCAGACTCCCTGCCGAGCAGGGAGCCCAATGCGGGACTCGATCCTGGGACTCCAGGATCATGACCTGAGCCGAAGGCAGTCGCTTAAACAACTGAGTCACCCAGGCGCCCGAGAGTATTTCTAAAAATGCTAAAAAACCCTAACCATAGTGGGTGAAATGACTGGAGTACGTTAAAATTAAGAACTTCTCTTCATCACAAACTCAAGAGATAGAAGTAGAGGTATAATGAGAGAAAAGACAGGGTCTCATTCTTAGCATATATACACTACAAAGCCTGAAGAAAAGGATATCACAACAGAAAAAAAGAATCATAATAACTAACTAGACACTTTGAAATTATCCCAAGGTTAATGCCCAACTCCGTAGTAAAAGAAAGTAACAACAACAAAGGAAATAAAACCAAGACTTGGTTACATCCCATACCAACTAGAAGCCTACTGTGAAAAGGACAAACTCCCAAGTTTTGAAAATTATGTGGATAAGCCAGATCTCCCATACGCTGCTAGCGAGTGTGAAAAATTATACAAAGTTTGTGGGTTGGGGTTTGGTAATATCTGTTAAAGTTGAATATCCAAACTATTTAATGACAATCCACTCCCAAATATAGAGACAGCAGATTTTTTTTTTAATTTATTTGAGAGAGAGAGCAGGAGTTGAGAGGAGAGGGACAGGTAGAAGCTGGCTCCCTGCTGAGCAGGAAGCCCGATGCGGGGCTCGATCCCAGGACCCCGGGATCATGTCCCGAGCCAAAGGCAGACGCTTAACCATCTGAGCCACCCAGGCGCCCCTCGACAGCAGGTATTTATACATGCTTCATTAAAAGACAAATTATAGATTTTACATGCCAGTACTAGTCATGACAGTCATAGACTTAGAACCATCCACTCGCCTATTAATAGTAGAATGCTGCAGTCAATTGATAGTCACATAATGGAAATGGATCCATCCAACTCTAATGAATGGTGCACTACAACGTGCAGTAATACAAATAAATTCACAAGCAATAGATGGAAAGAAAAAAATTGCCAATTACAAAAGAGTTCCAGTCAGTGCCCACTGCCTGACTGTGTTTACATAAACTACAAAAACCAGGACAGGAATCCATTGCCTTACGTGTTAAAGGGGTGCTGAGCTTTGTGGAAAGTTACTGAGGAGCACAAGGGGAACTTTATTTTATTTTATTTTAGATTTTATTTATTTATTTGACAGAGAGAGACACAGCGAGAGAGGGAACGAGAAGCAGGCTTCCTGCCGAGCAGGGAGCCCGACGCGGGGCT